AAGTAAGCTTAATCAGGGCATCGATTCCCGAAGTTAGTCGATATGCTCCATGATGTGCATGTGATGTGACCGGCTGCCATGACGTCATGATCGTATACGATAGGGATAAGTTCAAGTTTAGCTGTATGAGCTAACCAATCACAGACAAGAATTGAACTGTCATTTGTCAGTTTTGTATTTTGTTTTGTTTTGCATTATGGATACTGTTATTAATAACCAAAAAATCCTGGAACAATTCCATGTTTTATTTCACAGAAAATATGTGAATGTATAGGTTATGGCACTGTAAAAATAACCCAAGCAAAACAGCTGCAAGATCCGTCCTGTAGCTGCTACTGCGCATGACTTTCACGCAACGAGTGGTCGTTGCGTTCGATCAACTTTTCGCTCGATGTGGTACGTTCGAGAATGCAGTGACTTTCACGTTCACATCAAGGTCAGTCGATGTGAACAAAGCACATCTTCGGGAATCGACGCCCTGAGTTCCAGTGCACTACGGAATAGGGGGCAACAAAAGGACGGAGGCCTTTGGTGTGCCTAACTGCTATCTTGTCAGTGTCCCCTATGAATATAGATAGATGAAAACTGTAAGAGGTTGCTATTTAAAAAGATATGCCCCTATAATAACAGTAATACATTTAAAAATGAAAGAATGCAGTTAGACAGGTAACCTGCAGCATTTTAAAAGATTAAATAGCGATAAGGGTTAATTATTATTTTAAAAACCAGAAAACAGAATAGATTGGTTCGAAGAGTTCTTGAAGACCACTTGCTGTCTCTTAAAGGCTATTAAATTTTGTAACTTACTCATAAAGAATCTTGATGAAGACCCTTGGAAACTCTTGGAGACACTTGAGAACCTTTTCAAAGAACCCCTAAACAAATACTTATAAACTCTTAAGGCGGATCCACATTGATAAATAGTGTGCGTTGAATTTGGGACAAATTTGCTCGTGGTGCGCAGAAATTCTTGTCAATGTGGACTAAGCGCCGCATGAAAACGTGCACAAATAATTTCGTGACGAACAACGCGCGCTATTCACTATGCTGTCGGTTTTCCAGTCAACTTCAAAGAGATTTGCGCCGCACAATAGTTCTAAAGGCGGGTCCACATTGATAAATATTTGCGTTGCGTGTTGAATTTTGAATTTTGGCACAAGTACGAGTATTTCCCCCACAAATTTGAATATGGTCACATATTTACTACGTACATATTTATCTTGTGTGTAAAATGTGTTGTATTTGCTGAATCCTCGCGTGCACATTCACATGTCCACAGTAAAACTATTGTGCGGCAGTGCGGCGCAAATCTCTTTGAAGTTGACCGGAAAACCGACAGCATAGTGGATAGCGTGCGTTGTTCGTCAAGAAATTATTTGTGTCCGTTTTCGTGCGGCGCATAGTCCACATTGACAAAAATTTCTCCGCACGCGAGCAAATTTGTGTTAAGCCCTTGTACACGTTCGGCCAACTAGTGATTGTCGGCCAGCGTTGGCCTACAAACCGAAAGTCGTCGGTTTTTCATTCGCACATCAAAGGATCTTGGCGCGTTTAGAAGGCTCACAAACAGCGTTCACACGTTGGCTTTCAACAGTCTTTTTTTAAATTAAAGGTTATACAGGGTCCGGCAAAATGATCTCCCACATTTTAATCTGTAATAAAAACGCCATTGTAAATGTTATATAGATTTTGTCTTTATTAACTGAAAATGTATGCTATGCCATTTGTTTTTATTAAGTTTTGAAAATTACAGAGTCCAAATGGCGACCATTTTTTTCGATACACATTCGAAGCTGATTTCTGAAAGTTTCCATCACTCGAGCAGTAATTTGAGGCGATATTCCTGTAATTTCTTGGCGTATTGCTGCTTTCAATTCGTCAATGGTTCGGGGATGGTGTTGAAAAACCTTCGCTTTCAGGTATCCCCAAAAAAAAAAGAAAAAGTCTACCAAGCGCGAAGTGAGTACGAAATGTTCTTTGCGTCGTAATCACAGATTCGTTACTTTTCATAAACGTTTCAATAACAAAGGCACGATGCTCACCCGTCCAATTCATGACTGACAACTGAAATGGCAGGGCCAGAGCTACCAACCGACTACACTAAGCTCCCCCTCTCTTCAGTGATTCTGGCACAGTGGCGGTGCAAAATGTGGGAGATCATTTTGCCGGACCCTGTATTATGCGGCGGTTTCAGTGTTTTTATATCGTTTTTAACTTGTGAGGTGATACGTATTTATCATTTTTTTTTAAATCACCTTTGTTTGATGCGCACCTTTTTATATAAATTGAAAGCGGTGTACAAATAAATTGCCGCGGCTGCTAAAGTCTCCACATCATCCACATCCGTATAATCTACAGGACACTCAAAATGAAATCTACACTAATAAATGGCCAATGAAAATTGACTGAAAGTTGGTCACCTGGTGCCCAACGTGTAAACACTGTTGGCATTGGCCCAACGTATTTGGACCAACTAGTTGGCCCAACCAGTTGGCCGAACGTGTACAAGGGCCTTTAAATTTAACGCACAACGCAAATATTTATCAATGTTGACCCGTAAGGCAAGGGTGTCGCCAGGTTGGGACGGGGGAGGGCAGCTATCCCCTCTAGTACTTCCACGTTGATGTTAAATATTACAATGAGGACATGTACCTATACAATATTAACATAGTTCACCATGATATTAATGTCGTGATACATTATTATTGTACATTGTACAACATTTTAAATAAACCAAATTATTATTATTATAGTTCAATTTGTTTATATAGCAAACAAAAAGTTTCTAGAACAATCTTGAATCAGCGAATCATATTTCATAAAAAATCTTTTATCGCGGGAACGTTCTAGAAGGAGCAAATAGGCGAATTGTCACAAAACCTTAGTGTAGATAGATCATTTACTGACCTTATTAAACAATAACCAAACATCTTTAAAACGAATTTGGGTACAAAAATAAAACAGAACATTATCTGCAGATTAATAATTTTATATAAACAGTTACTTTCGGGAGTACCGGGTGACTCATTAGAAGTGATGATCGCTTGAATTTCGCGCGTAAAGTTTTAGTATTTTTTGCATTATTAGATTGACGATTTGAATTTCGTTAGTAATTTTTTTCTGTCATGACTGTCATTTAAGAAACCAGTGTCGTCGTTAATTGTTGTGTGCCATTTGCGGTTTATTACTTTTTCCATTTTGAACAATTTTTAGAGTTGATGCACTAAAATATGTAAGAAACGTGACTGTGTCTAGTGTTAGTTTATAATTTGTGGTAAAACAGAAGCAGTATTTGTAGATTATACATAAATAAACGATTTACTGAAAGCATGATGATACACCACTGCAATTAAATAAAAGATCATCAGTTAGTACCAACTTCATAATTTTTTTGATTTGCGGGAAATTCAAATTGTCCTCACTTCTAATGAATCACCCGTACTATCACTAGTAGTACAATTATTATCGGTGATGGCACGTCTTAAAACTTTTCTGAAAATTGAACGAGTGCGTTTTAAGGGGTGCTATCATCGATATTTAATTGTATTGCTACGAGTTATATTTTTTAGGAAGAGAATATAATAAATAAAACTTATTCTTCAAAAAATGCCTCTTGGATTCTTTTAGCTAGGTACTGAGTTCCACAATGTCCTTATACCACCTACGTACCCCAGCCCATCTCTGCGACGCATATTGCATGGCAATTTCAATAACGCAATTTCTTCAATGGTAGTAACGTGCGATTAAAAATGAGTTGCTGCGAGTCGCTTTTGAAAGTTCAAGTACGATTTGCCATGTAAACAAAAATTCCAAAGGCGACTCGATAGCAACTCATTTTTGATCGCATACCATTGTAGTATTACCATTGAGAACGATGTATTTTGGGTCGCAAAACTCCATGAATTGCCTCCACTGCAATAGTTTGTTTATAATTGTTTTTCGGCGTTTTTTGCGATTAACTCGCGTATATGTTACCCTCTGTCGAATTTCCCCATCAATTCGGCATCTTATTTTTAACCATTTGACTATGTAGACGCGGGATGCTCCTACTCAAACACTATCCTTCCGCATTTAGACGGCAAACTGCCAAACGTAGAAAAGTATAAAGGGACAAATGCTAGATTTTGACACATGGCAAAAACCAGCAGACGAAGCACCAGTAGCGGCAATAATTTTATTATCGCTGTGATAAAAGGCAGACTGGTCATATGTTTTATAATTTTCACCAATTGCGAGAACAAGAAAAGAGGGTCATGTGCTCAATGCATTATATTCTCGAAAATATAAATAATCCGGTAGTCCCACTTACAAAAATACCTGCCACACCCCTGTTACTTCGTCCTGCTTACGGACCTGGATGACAGCAATATCATCAGGATCACTGTGAATGCAACTGAAATCAAGGCGCACAGCAAAGTGTTAGAGAATTTCATTTTTTGCAAAACCTGTTGCGCTTCAGAGAAAAAAAATACCTGCTTATCTAATAGACAAATAAACATGAATTACCTCAAGTGTATTGAATTTTTGGTTGGTTTCAAAATTGAGATTCACATTTCGAAAAGGCATCATCGACCTGCATTGTAATTTATCTCCGAGTTTATCTCGGTGTCAAAGTCATACAGGAAATGCAATTCCTACAACGGCTTACAAGGGATATAGTTTTCTCATAAGTTTTCTTTATATACCTATTTGACATTTGTATAGGTAGTAGAGCTACAAAAGGGTACCTTACTAACAAAATGCATGGAGTAGGCATAAATGTGCAAGTATGTTTGATAAGATAAAAATATCCTCAAGTAGGTATTATCTCAGTCCCTTTTATCGCATAAATTAATAATGTCAATAGCATTAGCACAGTATGTATTTTAAACGCGTAAAAAATCAAGATGCACAAGGAGAAGGAAAGAATTTCCTGGAGGTTCCCGTACTGCGTCATGCACATTTGCCATCTCTCTTCGTAGTTCCTCTCATTTCACGCCCCCTACCACAACAACGCAGTATGGCGCTGTCACCGTGGCAGTTGAGTTGCAAACTTCATTGTATTTAAGTCGGACAACTCTAAATTCGGGTACGGTGTTATTCTTTTTTTCGTACGTTGAAATATGGTGCTCAATTAACCGTTTAATAGCAAAATAAAGCGTTTAGGAAATGTTTGTGTTCAGTTTGGATTACAATATGCGTAACGTTAACGGTTTTTAGTGTGCTTGTCCTGGATTTACTCGGGGCCTTGGTAGGTAGAAAGTAAGGCGTCCACATAAACACTAGGAATACTGAAGGAACATTCCTACTCAAGCGAAATGAGTGTAATTGATAGAAATCTAACAAAATATTTACGTTTAATTTGTGTTACGGGCGATCTCTTTGCAAATTATCGGGCACACCCATTCGGATTAATTTTCTAAGCCCCGCACACATTGCCATATTTTTGTATATCAACATCTAATGTTGTTTTCCGTTTTTGCAGATTTAACGTTGAAATATGCTACCTTGAAGTTGTTTGGATAGTGAAATGAAGTGTCTTAGTTATGAGTGAAATGGGTGAAATAGCTCCTTCGGGGGCTTTACGTACCGATATTCCACAGACAAAAAGGCATAAGCTTACAGTTTGTCGGGATAGTGTTCCATCTGTGCACGGTAGGCCTAATCCAGCAGGGGCTCTTAGTGTTCGAACAAGATTGAGCAACCACCAAAGGAATTTAAGCTTAGATTTTAGGTAAGTGGAGTTACAGTGTCACCTAAATGTTTTAATTTGCCACCGAGTTGTTTTGATCACATATTGCACATTAGGGTCCATTTAAATTATAAAATGACCGGTTTCTAAATTGGAATGTACTGATAGCATGCACGGAGACAAAGGTTAAATTGTAAGTTTGCTTAGACATAATTATCTCTGACCTTTCTGACACTGCCTGCCATTCACAATAAATCTGATGAATATTACCTATTTATTAGATACTTACCTATTTCTACCCTCTCAACTTTCAAGATCAATTATTTCATTAACTCGACACGTTTATTGCAAATGAGAATGACGGGAACATATTCCACCAGTGTCAAAGTTTGAAAGAGTGAAATCATAGATTCAAGGCTAATTGTTATCACAACAAGGCTAATTACAGTCATGAATAAAGAATTTGCATGAGGTCACGACAGATCCGTCAAAGGCCTAGCTGGCATTGACTCCAGTCCAGGTGTAAAGTGAACGCAAATGGATTATAGAAAGTTATCGATTGTAAATTTGTGCTAGTTGAAGTAATCTCGTTAAAATGATCTACAAATTCGACTGCTGTCATCAAGGATCAACGAGAGGATCAACCAACCCAAAAGTACGTTGCATGACTTACATCTGCTGCTCTTTCAATGTAAACTTATGCTGCTTGCTGCAGACAATTTTTTATGAGAATAATCACATCACATTGATCTGTAATTTGAATAAGGAAAAAATGTGACCCGCGGAGTTTTACTGCTGCACGCTGTAAGATTTTTTTCATATTTTTCTGGATATTTACGTACAAGGCAGGAACCTCAATCTTGACCTCCAATTCCATTCCAATTGGTTGTCATATGTAAAAATTTTTTTACTTTCAAAAACAGCATCTCGGGAAATAATTCGTATTGTTTGCAGCGACAAACGCAGGGAAAAATGTCAAAACAAATCCAACCTACAGTAGCGGCCAAAAGTTTGATTTTCTCCTCAATTTTTTCATTGTAACATTAGCATTTACTACGGTTGGCAATAATATATTAATATGTTATTTAGCTATTAAACACAATTCGAGTCAGTCGGCCACTATTTGTTATAAGGATGTTTCAGTTTTTTTTAAATTATTAACATCTGATAATTCTATAAGCACCTCGAGTAGCACCATGAAAAGTTATTGCCGACAAACTGTATCGTGACAAATTTTGGCCCACTACTGTATGCGGAATTTGAAGACCATGTTTTGGATTAAGTTCTAAATTGTACACACAAGCATTTAGGGATAAAAGCTTTTTCGTTTAATGCATAAATTTATTTGAACCGTTTGCAATACGCCATTTTTTGTTTGTTTTTTTCGAGGTTTTTTTTAATTAAGAAACGACCAAATAAATGGAACATATGCGCTACTCGAGAAACTTGTGTTTCGAATTTAGGACTAATTTTGTACCTCGTTTTGTACACACACTCATTTACGAATAATAGTATATTAAGAGACAAGTGTATAATCAAGTCTTTAAAGCACGCGCAACGAGTTTAAGGGCACGACGCAAAGCGGAGTGCCTTTAACGTTGCAAGTGCCTTAAAGACCAATTATACACGTGTATCTTATAGTATTTTTTATTATACCTGCAGTATAATTTAAAAATAGGAAATACAATGAAGTCATATTGACGTTATACTCGAATATACATGTCTAATTAAGTGGGCTGGGTGTTCCTAATTTCACGATTGCCATGGAAATGTCACTTGACGTTTGCTTACAAAAATCATCGTCTTTGTGAATTAAACGATTTCCGTTGAAAAAGATAATACACCGCCCATTAAATCGATTGTTGTAAAATCTAAACAAACGTTGGTAGGTGTAAAATCCAACTCCAGTAAAGCCGAGAGTAAAGCCTATTATAAAGAATATGAAAAGTTGTTTCAATGGATGAATAGGAATAGTATTTATTCTATAACGAGTATGGAATAGAGTGTATTCCGCGCGAGTGGAAAGTTCGTCACACGAGCCGAAGGCGAGTGTGACGGTTCCACGAGCGTTGAATACCTATTCCTTACAAGTAATAGACATAATTTTTTCTACTACTACGACGAATTTTTACAAAATATGTAAAACAAGCAGGGTTAACTATAGACAATTCACACATTAGTATGGACGTCTATGTACGGTGGGTTGGTATAACAGATCACTGTGGCATATTTGACAGATATTTGTCTAAATGGCTGTATAAACAAATTCCTCGACAATTTCTCTTCCCTCAATATTATCCCAGAAAAGGAAAACTAACTTTTCTGTGATATTATTTACAAATGTGCACATTAATTATTGAATGTGCCCTGTCCTGCGCAGTGTATCGGCGTGGATCATTTAGATTTAGATAAACATAACCATAAGCGATAAACGTATTCGAGATTGCGACCGGAATGTAATTCATGATGTGTATAAATTCAAATACAAAATGCTACAAAGAGGACGTTATGGATGCAAATTAGAAATAAACATCATAGCACTACTCGAAAAATTTGTATGTAAGGTATCTACGAGTGTAGGTAACATTTTAGTGAGCATTATATTTTAGGTTAGTTTTAAAACTTCCTGGAGGAAATGTGTTCTGGATGACCAACAACGTTAACTGTTTGGATATGGATGTTCTTTTTGTATAGTGCAGTGAGGTACATTAATTCATTGTAGAATATGCAACTTGATGTTTGGTTGTAGGTATACCAACGTACGGGTCCCTCGTAATTGTAAACTTTCGTTGTACATTAGTTTTCGTATTGGGTATTCTAATTACAGTTCCACCTAAGTCCACCGATTTTTATGTTCCACAATTCGTGCTTACGACAAGCACCACTAATGCCAACTATAAGAGCAACCTGTAAATGTAAAATAGATATGATGTAACGAGTAACGATTTGAACGTGTAATGTTATAGTAGATATGAACTGTCGGGGTTGCTTTTTGAATAAACATTTTTACTTTGCTCGTTGATAGAATTTTTGACTTTTTAGGGAAATAGCCGCTGGATTGCGTTTTTAACAAGGCCTGCAACTTAGCATAGCTGCTTATATCTACATTATTGTTCAAAAGTATCGTAGAGCACAGCATGGAATACGTTTTCCACAATGTGGATGCTTTAATTTACTGTGATAGTTTGCTAAAGTAAGCACTACGTTCTCTGAAAATGAGTTGGTTTTTTTCTTGTCCTCCACTCCAAAAATTTGCTGTATGTATGTTCGTACACTTTTAGTTTGTCGGGAAGTAAATTTTTTTGCGTGTTCTGCTTCCACGGTGATTTCCGGGGGAGAATTTGAAAGTTCCATTAAATCCTCACTGGCCACTGCTATTCATTTTCGCGCTACCGGTCCTTAAAATTTAATATCTGGCGCAAGCGTAATTAAAATTTTGACAGTTTAAGAATTTTGGTTTAGGATGTCCTGTTTTAGATGTCGCCACATGTGCTCATTCCATCACAAGAGCTAGAATGAAATTATTCCACTTCACTAGCAGAGAATAGGCGAGATTCTGTTGTTAAAAAAGAAGCAAGTATGACGTGATTCTAAGGTAGTAGTAGAAAAAGTTACTTACGAATACAGTCTTAAATGCGTCGATAATGCTGGCATATATGAAGGAAATGTCAAAGGTATTTAAATCTTCTATATTTTGGTGCATTCATTAAAAACTTTAAAGCAATGCTGCGATTAAAAGGTGGAACAGATTTGGAAGCATACCCTAAATTACGCGCGTTTGTGAAAGCTTCAACCAAAGGATAGGTACAAAAGCCAAAGAAATGTTCTGCATTTACAGAAAGCGACCTAAGAGGATTTTTTATTTCGCCCAGATGACAGTTTCAAAAGTCATACTTGAAGTATCGTTACTTAGCAACTTTAAAGCACGTGTGTTTTAAAGGCCCTTGTTCGCACGCATTTGAGTGTTTAAAACGGAGATTGTGATTCAGGTATAATAAAAAAACTTTTTTCTCCAACCACCTGAATAAGACGCTATTTTGTGACGGTGTTCGGTACGTAAAATTGACGTTTTGCGGATTAATCGCTTTCACCATGGCAACTGTACAAAAAGTGGATACTTTTGGTCCTAGTACCAAAAAGAAATTGACCTTGAAAGTTGACTAATTAAAAAATTACAATCACGGAGATATGTCACATTGACATCGGTTTACATTGCAGGTTGTAAGATATTTCTATACATACAAATCAAATATTTTTGCATATTCAATGCAAATAATGCTGTTACCTATACGTATGTACATGTATTGAAAATGATTTACACTCGCTATTTTTATTTAAATCATGTGTAACGTAATTTACATATTCGGTGAACGTAATTTTAATACGTATACAACCCGCCGTCGCGCGTAACGCCATCTACTTAAGACACATTGCACTATTATCTGTCATTTTGAATTCAAAATTTGAAAAAGTTAATTGCAATTAATTTTAATTAAAAAACTGTATTGTAAGTTTTTTATTTCAATACAAAATATAACAATATTAATTGTGTATGCATTAGAAATGACTGAAACTGATAGCGACATGGATTGCACTCCGCCAGAGATTATAGAAACGGCAGAACATGCTACCTCAAGATTTGCTCCCAACAAAGTCGCGAGAGGTGAGAAGTAAGAAGTAAGAACGAATAGGTTATAAGTTAACCTAAAAACTAGAGTGGCATGACACGTGAGGACAAGAAAGCAGAAGTTCTTATACTAGTAGTGAAACTGTGACTGAATCTAAGTTTGAATATAATTTGAAGTAAAGGGGGTTGGAGAAAAAATTTTATGTTTTATTCGTACAAAAAATGCGTTTTCGGGACTCGGAAGGTTGCTGGACTCCGCTGACGCGTCGTCCAGCAACTATCTTCCTCGTCCCGAAAACTGACATTTTTTGTACTAATGAAACAAATAACTATTTTGATGGTAAATCGCCGTTTTTTATCAGTTTCGCCACATATTTATTTTATGTTTGGGCTTTATTTTTAAGCGGGTGGGGTATCAGCCAAGGCTGTTCCATCAGCTCCGAGGGGTAAATCGCTAGGCAAAATCGTGTACACCAAACTTCATACTTCACGTATTTCACTAATACTTCATGGACTTCATCAGTACTTCACGGACTTCATCAGTACTTCACGGACTTCACCAATACTTCACGGACTTCACCAATACTTCATGGACTTCATCAATACTTCACCGAACTTCACGGACTTCACAGACACTTCATGTATTCCACCAAAAACTTCACGGACTCACTGATACTTTATGAATTTCACTGATATTTTGCACTGGACAAAATCCCATCCTTTTTTCTAGAGTTCTTGCAAAGCACTCAAAGCAGTAAAAGATGTAGAATGTATTGATATAAATGATAATAGAGGCATAACAAAAACGAAACGGTAATATAAAGTAAAATAAAAACATACTTTGTTTATACATAGAGGTAAGTACATAGGCGAAATTGAAATGAATCAATTTTTTAAAGCAATTTTTAAAAAAATGGGCTTTTGTTTGAGTTTTGCCCGCCCGTCGGACCCACTTCTGCGGTTTTGAACTACTTTTAGGGGAATGGTCCTAGAGTCCTGGAATTTTTTGCAATATGTAGCCTATACCTTGAAGGTGTGGCACACGGCAATCAAATTTCGCTGTCTTAAGGGAGGTGGCCTCCATCAATTATTTCCTGAGATGCTGTTTTTGAAAGTAAAAGTAAAACGTGCATTACTTTTACATACGGCAATCAATTGGCGCATGGCTTTAGTGGTGCAGTAAAAATTTTGAAAATGGGGAGGGGGGACGGGGGTAAACACCCGTTCCACCTTTCATGGTCTCATCGAAATAAATTGGTTTGCACAAACTATAACGTTACCGCGCGACTCTTTTTCAAGTTCAGTTCATGGCGCGGGGGGGGGGCGTATTTTATCTTTCATGATATTCTAATTAAAGGTCTCAACGAAAGGAATTAATTTCTACCAACCATAGTCCTCTTCTTCGATCCCTTACCGTGATTGGATATATCCCCTTATATCTCCACAACAGATTGTTGGAAGAGTACTCACAAAGGGCGATTGGGACATCTTAAAGAAATATATCCATTGAGCGATTATCTCGAAAACGGTTAATCGGAGGAAAGTACTTTCAAAGGCAAAATCAATCGGGGGTGTCGGAGGATTTTCAATGTCCTCCCATCAATCATCTACTAAGAAAGTAAATATCGATAACATGCTACTACCTTCTAACCCAACCATTTACTAAGCTATTTCGGTTTAAAAAATGGCCCTTTATCTTTATCTGCACAGGAGTTGTGCACCATTTATACTTAAGATTTTATAAGCTTCAAATTTCTGTTATATACCTACCTATGCAGTTATACTAAATGGTTCACTTCCTATTAATGTAATGGGTCCTGTTAAAATATACAGTGAGTTTTTTTTAAATGCGAACATAGGAGTTTGCATGCAATGTAATTTCCCTATGTTCGATTTTAAAAAAAAACACATCAATCTATGAGATGTGCGCGGTTCACATTCCCAAAACGCGCAATTTGTGTGACTATGAACAGCAACTCATAGTCTTTATGATGAAGAGCACTCGGTAAGATTCTTTTAATTAAGCCATGTGAGGCGATAGCAACTTTACGATATATTTTTCTTTAACTTACGATAACTTGACTTCACATGGCACGCGCTGACATCACAATTCATTGTGAACCAACCTTCAATTATTTGTAGGTCATGTGCACCTGGTATTCTACTAATTTGATTTATTCAATACATAAATAAAGAAAATAAGAAAATAAATAACGAAAACAATCACAATAAATGTTCGAAGTGTCCTTCTTGACATTCTAAGCAATAACCTAACCGATTTCGTAATTAAATTGGACGGCGGAATTTTTAAAAATGTGACAGCTGTCAATTGTATCTACTACTCATTTGAACTACTCAATAGATTGATGTGTTTTTTTAAAAATCGAACATAGGGAAATTACATTGCATACAAACTCCTATGTTCGCACTTAAAAAAAATTCACTGTATCTTTTATTAACAGATTGGATATCTGGCTCTATACCATATACCTAAAGGTGTCCAATTCTTCTTTTAAAAATTTCATTTCAACAAACAAGCAAAATAAGCGGGAAAATATTGCTTAGGTTTTGTAAAAGGTATTGTAACATATTACCAGGCTGAACGCAATAAGCAACTCTTAATCCTTTTACAGCAGGTTGCATTTTTAGGGGATTATTTTCAAGAATTATGCTAATGGTGTTGTTTGTGGGATAGTATTGACCTCGGGATTGACATTATAGTCGTAAATAACTCAATGGCGTGGCCAGAAACTTGATTTGCAAGGGGCTGATGTACTAAGTTTTGGAGGGTGCTGAAATTTTAAGGAAAACAAAAGCCGCTATCCACGTGACAAATTTTCCGTCTGTCGATTTTATTTTAATATACCTATTAAAAGTGTTATTTAGGCTACCTGAACCTGATGGTAATAAAGGAAAGGATTTATTAAATTTTTAAAAGGAAACATTTTACGATCTTTGTACCTACACATAAATACGACGCAAGGATCAGTACGTCTATGAGTCGCTGTCTCATCAGGGCGTCTGTCGCCTGTGTAACTGTCCTTTTGTTTTGTAGAAATGGGCATAGTTACTCTTTCATAAATAAATGCCATACTTTTGCGGATAAAAAACTTACCTTTCAGCATAGATTTTTTAATCTATACTTTCAGTTTTATTTCGCAGAAATTTATTTAATTTTACCTCGAATTTTAGTGGTTACAACCGTGAATTGAACTACCGTACGATTTTTGTTAAGGGATTTGATTATAAACTTCGCCACAATCTCATGCATTTTTCCAATAGTTCGCTTAAACTTCACTAACTTCACCAATACTTCATGGACTTCATCAGTACTTCACGGACTTCATCAATACTTCACGGACTTCATCAGTACTTCACGCACTTCAACAATACTTCACGAACTTCACCAATATTTCATGGACTTCACCAAAACTTCATATGAACTTCACGGACTTCATCACACTTGTACACCATACTTCACCAGTGGTTCACCCCTCGATCAGCTCAATCCCGAGCCTAATCCAACCCACTCGCTAACGCACTATATATTTTCAAATATCCATGCCTGAACCAGGATTCGAATCAGGAACCACAGTCGCGCTTCTACGCCACTGTGTCACACAGGGCTGAATTACATTTTTTAAAATTTCTATTAAAAACTCAAATGGAATCTTTCTGAAAAAAATTATGCGG